CGTTAAGTGAGATATATATATATATATATATGAATTATTATTAACGAATTACTAGTTGACACAGTACTTCAATTTATTTATGCTTTGTATAATATTGCTATATTTATGTAATGTGTGTTTTGAATCATATGTTTAAATTGCATGATCCTTTCTTGAAACAGACACAAAGATTGAAATCACTTGATTGTTTTCTCTGGTCGAGATACAAAATAACGGACTTCTGAATTCTTACAATCATTTATGATGAGAGATTAACTTCTTGCCGTGACACATGAGAAAGGATTATGCATTGATAATTCAACATTATCTTATTTTGTATTTATGCTATGTGTTCTCTGTATAACATTTATTACGATATATTCATTGATTATAACATAAATGCTATGGAAATACACAATCTCTTTACCGACGTAACAACAAAAAAAGTATCGTTCCCTTTTCTATAATTCTTGAGCTCAGGCTCCTGCGCGAGCTTGTACGTTTCAAACACACACCGTTTCTAAAATGGACGGTTTCTTATACGCACTTTCCTATTCCATATAAAGAAACCCAAATGGCGGCTTTATCGATATATTGCACCTATCGATTTCAATGTCGCTTCTCTATTATCTAGGACTCTAGAAGAAGCGAGGTCCAGGTCCTTTTCTCGTGAACCTTTGCACCTCGTGTACACATGCACATCGTTAGATGGTCTTTTCCTGCCGAACAGTCGTCGAGTCCACTCGCGTATCCGAGTGATCTGTGAATTAATCGTTCGACATCCGACGAGTAGGGTAAGTATCCGGCAGCGACCGTTATCCGCAGGCTTAATTACAAGCTTATTAACATTCGGAAGTGAATATTTTTCGGAAATATATTGTTTTTTATACGAAAATCGCGAGTGAAGCAAGATGATGCAATCGAGGCTTTACCCATTATAATTCTGTACTTCGAGTACAAAATATATATTAAATATAGATTGGAAGAGGCTGTAAGGGTCACAACGCTGATCAAGATGCGTTTAAATATTATAATAATTTATTCCTCAAAATCCAAAATTTAGAGCCAAATTTCCGGTAACAAAAAAGCAGCAATGCTGATTAAAAGTGGTGACAAGAAAAATCTTGGCCTAGTCGCCAACATAATAGCGTGCGCTATTGAAATGCATTTTTGTTCGAGCTGCTGCGATGGGTATTCTCTTCCTTTAGCTATAACGTTTTCCAGAAAAATATTGAGAGATTTCGGTGTAGTCTTTTACATCCGTCAAAAAATCATCGCTTGAAGGATAAGCAGACGTGTCGTTGATTTGTGAGCGAATATCTTCCCGAATAATGACTGTAGCTGCAGTGACTACTCGAAAGCGTTCTTCCCGTTCATCGACTTTTTTTCGTTCATACCAATAACTCGTCAAAATTGTATATCCTTTGTTTTGGAAACATATAGTAGTAAATTAGTAATCTTTTTATTTGTCGCTATAAAAATCTTGTCACCGTATTTTTCTTTTAGTTTTTTTAAAGCACCGGATATACGGCGATTCTTCTGTATTTACACCAATTACATCATCCTCAGTCGCCTTCGTTGAGCCAGTCTCGAGCAAATCGAATAAAACTATTCAGATTTGCCGCGAGATAAAATGGATAACGAGAATGCAAGCTGCGCCTACGACGACGAAGAAAATGCACAACTGTCACCACTGCAGCGTCTCCCGGTGGAGGTTGGTACAAGAAAAAATGAAAAACCCGTCTAACGCGTGCCTGCGTACACGTGTACGAAATTCCTTTTTTTAATCGTCGCTATTATTGCATCCGTTAGTCACGCATTATGGAACTTTTAAGAATGGATTTTAATCAGGATTATTTTTTTTTCTAGAAAAAAGCACAACAAAAATCTAAAAAAAGAACTAAGCAATTTCGATCAGAATCTATTCCGAAAAGTTCCGTAGTAAGAGTCGCTTGTCGAAGAAGTGTAGGGTGATAAACGATGAGCGATGGTCGACTCTCTCTTTCGTTCTGTCTCCATCTCTTCCGGAGCGTTTGTTTGGTTGTGCGTTTAATTTTTTTATTCTGCTGTATTTCAGATATTCCTGCATATTTGTTCCTTTCTAGATGGGTCGACGTTGGTACACGGTTTGAGCTTAGTGTGCAAACAATTCTACCAGATTTTAAAAAATGCAAACTCATTGTGGAAAGCACGAATTAACCATATATGGCCAGATGCTAGCTACCCGCTTTTGCCTCCCGGTTAGTTCAAATTAATAGCACCTTACGCCTTGCACGACCAATTATTTTTGTGAATAAATTTTGTGTACGCCATTTTACAGCAAGCATTTACAAACTGCACATTAGTTGCATACATCGCGTTATAGATTTCATATTTCGCAGTATTTTAGTTCTTTTTCGTCTTAAAAAAAATAAGCGTGTTTTACAAAACATATTATATATTTCTTGATCTCTATCTTTTTTTATTTATAAAAAGTCGTATCGAGAAAGCTTGTACAACTCTGTTTATTGCAACAATCGGATGTGCATAAAGTAAGAACTTGAATACACTGAAAAGAAAATATTTGTTATTAAAAAAAATATTTATTATGTGGTTCTCTTAACAGCTTATTTACGCAATATAATAAACATATTTATTTAGAATTACATTTTTATTTAGAATTAAATATTTTGATTTAACTAGCATGAATATTTACTTCAATAAAAAAAATAATTTTAAGTAAATGGATTTAGACTTTATTAAAATTTTTTTTCTCTCTGTGTAGACATTCGATCGAGAATGTGTTTGTAGTTTATTTGTACTTAATTCAGGTTATATGTATATAAATTTTTTTGTATTCACAATTAGTATTATGGTATGAATAAATTTTCATATTTTTTTATGTAAGAAGTCACATGTCAATTACAGCGAGTCCCGACGAACTGTGTTGGATGTTGTCATACGTTACAATCAAACAAGAAACAGCACTGTGGAAACAGCAAGAGTCTAGAAAGAAGAGATTGTTCATCAAGAAAAAAAGTGGTTATATGAATAACATTATGAATGCTGTGTCACTGATGCATGTAGTAGGTATCATATTATGTCAGGTGGCCCTACTCTCTTTGTAGAAATCGATATAATGATAATTATTCCTGCTTTTAGAATGGAATCTCTCATGCAGTTTATACGTCAAAAACACACTTATTTTACAAGGAACTTCCTCAACGCAAGGAATTATCTTATGAAATCGAAAATTTTGGCCGCATTAAATTAACACATAGCTCAGGTATCAGGGATCTGACGGCGATAGACAACACGATCTACAGCTGCAGCATGGATCCGAACGTCAAGTCGTGGATGCTCACTAACACCGGTCTTGTCCATCAGAGAACTTACGATTTGTACGTAATAGCAGAACTGTTATTCCTTTCGGCCGCTTCGCGATAAGAAGATTGAGTGAAGAAAGTGCTTCCTGTTTATGGGAGAAATAATCGTTTCCTACCAAGTTATTCGAATGCAAATTGTGCGTTTTGTGTCTTGCTTGTTGAAACAGATAATTTGAAAACGCGATTTCAAAGTTTATTCGTCAAACCTAATTCACTGCATATTAACTATTTTACTCGTTTTTTTTTATCAATGTCAAATATTTCAGGAGCCTTACCTCTGTAAAGATAACCCCGTATTTGTTGAATTGTGAGTTTTCTTTTAACCGTACCATATTCAAGTGTTCAAGTTTTGAACTACAATTGTGCTAATTTTTGCCGCAAATATGAAAATAATATTTTGAACCGTATTCAAAGCTAAAAAAAAAAACAAAGTTTTGTTAATATACTATTTCTCGATTAAACTCAAATTTTTTTTAGTAAAAAGATACTAACTTCATGCCACGTTGTACCATTGAAAAAACATTGATATACATATATTGTATGTATATATATATATATAATATAAATAAAAAAAAATATATATATATATATATATATAAAAATTCAGCAAACGGGGGGAGGATAAAAAAATTTGGCAGCATAACTTTTAATAATTTGAAAATGTCAAATTTTTATATATCTATTTACTGAAAAAATTCGAAAAGTAGATGAACATAAAAATTTGACATTTTCAAATTATTAAAAGTTATGCTGCCAAATTTTTTTATCCTCCCCCCGTTTGCTGAATTTTTTCAATCCCATTGATTCTTCCGTACTTGTTTCGATTGTCGCTCAGTTGTTTTGTTTAGCACAACTCAACACAATTTACAAAACTTAATTATCTACCATGGTCTACAGATGGGATGGAATTTCGAATTTTTCTATTTCTAAAACCTAAGTTCCTAACAGTAGTTGTATTTTAAAATCCAATAATTAGTGTGTTTTTTGTCATTAAAAAAAGTCGAACACAACCTAACACAACTTTAAAAAATTAAAAAATATTAAATTTATGTTTTACCTATTCCCATATATAATATAATAATTGACTTTTTATCAATTTCTTGAGTTATGGCTATTATTTTTTTTGTATTGTGTTCTCTGTTATTAGAACAATATAGTATAGAAATACAATAAATTGCGTTATAACAATATTTGTTTATATATCATTATTTTTTTCTATTAAATGGATAAATATATCGATGTCTTTTGAACGGTACAACATAGCACAGTATTTTTTAACTAAACCAGTTAGTATCCCTTTATTAAAAAAAAATTTAACTCAATCGGAAACTAGTGCGGTACCATAAAATTTTTTTTTAATACAATATAAAATATTGCTATCGTATTTACGGCAAAAATTAGCACAATTGTAGTTCAATACGGCGAAGTTAAAAAAAAACTCAAAATGACATAATAAATTAATAATAAATTTAGAACAATATGTAGCACAATAGATGAAAATATAAAATTCAAAAAGTGCAGGTTTATTTTCACAGACCGAGGAGCGACAGATTCTCGTCATTATGGTCACCATGTATGTCATCGTGTCCGGGTCCGGGGAGGGACCTCTTTGCGACCGGCTTAGACTGCGGGACTATATACGTGTTCGACTCGAGATCTAGAAATAACCCGATCAGCCATTACCGACCTCACACTAGAGACGTGAATAGCTTGGCCATGAACGCGGAATACATCTTGTCTACTAGTCTGGACAAGACGGTATCCGTTTGGGATCAAAGAGCCGGACGGACCATGAAGTCTATCACAGTAATGTCAATTTTTAACATCGAGAAACGGGACACAATGTCGAAAGTGTACTTTTTAGTTTCCAGGTAAAGCACACTTCCCCACGTGTATAAATATGCGACGGGATTTGGTTTTTGTTGGAACCAGAACATGGGACAAATCTCGAAGTTGGGACTTCCCGAAGTTGCACGTGCTAAATCCAAAGGACGATTTCAAGCTAGTGAAATCTTATTCCACCGAGCATACGAAAAATATAACGAGAGTGCATCTGACGCACGAATGCCTGATAACAAGTTCCGAGGACGGCACTGTCAGAATTTCGAGCCTTACAGATCCGCCAAAGCCTATCGCTACTTTACGTTCAGAGATCGGAGGTATCAACGACGTGAGTATCGCACGTATAAGATTTGCTGAAAATATCGTATCATTGGTAATAAGATAAAACAAGTATCATTGTATCTATCGTATGTATCGTATCATTGACTTTAAAAAAAAAATCGTTAAACATAACGTGTAAAATAAAAAATACACTTTGATAATTAAATTTTTATTTACATTTAAACTTTGAAATCAGATTTTATCGTTGTCTTCCGAATGTAAGTAAAATCTTTAAAATTGACAACATTCTTACAAGTCTTATCTTGCAATATCGTGAATTTTGTTAAACTAGATTTTTTGCCCGCGCTTCGCCCGCGCTTCATATTTGGTCCACTAACGAATGAGTAGTTCGCGTACAGACAGACAGAAGACGGTACTTATATATATAGATATTGTATGTAACTGTTCGTGTGTTTTATGTTGCAGATGGACTATCTGAATGGCACTCTCGCAGCAGTCGGCTCAGGTATCAAGGTATGGTGCCCGAAGTTGACGTGTTCAACAAAACGTGTTCAACGAAACAACAATAAATAAAAAGTTTCTATACGTGATTTATAGCTATTCTACAGCTGTATTTCTTTGATATGTGATGTATGTTCTTAGGTTTTACTAACCCTAGACAGACTCACTGGGGTGTACGGAACCCCACGCGAAATTCAAATTGAGCCGCTGCCTTAGGAAGGTTAGTTTTCATACCGAGACCCTACCATAATTCAGTTTAGTTATCCGGCAATCGACCTCTGTGATTCAGCGAGTGCATTAGATCCGTGCAGCAGCTGTGACCGAAAAAGAAAATCGTTTGGGGTATCGTACACCCCAGTGAGTCATTTACGCTCGACATTTACCACAGTAAAGTATATTTCAGATTTTTTGTAAAAATTGGTAACAAAAAATTATACACTTTATAGCACTCCCCGGAAAATTCTACTCCTGTTTTATATATAATTGTTTAAGATTTGGTCAATTATTTCACTTTTGCTGTTCTTGCACAGCAACTGATTAAAACTTTGTAAAGTTTTTATGAAGTTAATTTTACTGTTTCCATATACTTTTATAACTTTTGACTACCTTTCAAATAAATAATAATCGGCAGAATCTGTTTTACTTTCCATTTCTTGCGATTTTTCCCATCCGACAGTTTTTCGTCATTTCCTCTACTTCAGATGTTCAAAGAAATGTTTTTTTTTAAGAAACGAAAAAATCGCTTACATGCCCTTGAAGGTTGTCTATTCGTCTTTCAAAATCCGTTGGAAATTTTAAAATCGGTGAATTTTATGAAAAACTACAGCATTTTTTATAAAAATAGTCATTTCAGCCCAATTTTTGGTTCTTTTTCTTGTTTTTTAAAATTTTTTTTACTGTTTTTTTTTTACTACCGCAAATTGATGACTACTATCGTCTTCCCTATTAAACAACAAACAAAATTATCTATTATAAAGTTTTCTAAGAACATTCTAGAAATATTATACACGCGATACAAGTTTGGGGTTATTAACACCCCAGTGAGTCATTCACGTATGAGAAAAATAAGTAAGTCTGTCTAGGGCTAATTGTAAGGTATCTTATTGTAGGTATCTTATCTAATTGTACTATTCGAACGCGTCTCTTTAATGTACAATGTAATACCTATTGTAATAGGTACAATATATATACCTATATCATTCTACAAAATTAGAAGTACGTATCGTTTTGTTCAAAATTTCTTCGAGTAAACGTTTTACTAACATCGCTTGCGTTTATCAGCTGAGCGATAATCATAGTTATAATTATAAACACATCTCATAATTATTGCGTTATCATGATGGGATCTTTTATATTTAAAAAAAAATAAGAAAAAATATTTTTTATATAATAAGTGCCATAAGTATTTAATAGTTATTTGTGTAACAAGTGAGGTAAGATGAAAATTCCCGGGTGCGGAGTTTACGCACGAGCCGAAGGCGAGTGCGGTAACCGCACCCGGGAATTTTCATCTTTACACACGGCTTACACTCCCTATTTTATGTTGCAAGTGCCTAGAAAGTGGTCTATCACGCACGCGTAGCGTGCGTAATGGGGCACTTTCCATGCACGTGTTGCATAAATATATTTTATGCAACACGATAACGAGTAAAAATATTTTATGTTTAATCACTGACATGATTGTAAAAGAAAAAATGTATATCAATAAGTTGCGCATTCGAGTGGAATTATTGTATTTAGATTAAGACAAAAAATTCGTGCTTTTTGTACTTTTTTGAAATAAAATAAATGTTTCTATGAAGGATTTTACTTTTTTACATTGCAGCGCACTATAATATATTGATATTTACGTTGAATACAGTTTGAATAACATTTTGCATGCAATTACATTTGATGTGACAACGTGCCCCGGTCACGTGGAGGTGTCGCGCCGGTTCGTACCCATATCCGCAGCAGGTCTCCAAGGTAAAGAGCCTCTAGTCGATAGACTAATATAGGTAAGGGAAGTCGGCAAATTGGATCCGTAACTTCGGAATAAGGATTGGCTCTGAGAAGCGGGGCGTGTCGGGCTTGGTCGGGAAGCGGGTTTGGCTGACGTGCCGGGCCTGGGCGAGGTGAACCGATCGGCGTTCTCGCGCCGGTCCCGGAGATCCGAGCTCGGTCCCGTGCCTTGGCCTCCCGCGGATCTTCCTTGCTGCGAGGTTTCCGTGGCGGCGCGAGCCGTCGTGGTCGTCCTCTTCGGCCGTCATTCAACGCTCAGCTCAAAACTGGCACAAACTAGGGGAATCCGACTGTCTAATTAAAACAAAGCATTGCGATGGCCCTCGCGGGTGTTGGCGCAATGTGATTTCTGAGTGTCAAGTATATATTTAAGATTAAGTAAAACAAGTATATATTTAATAACTGTTTATGACTGTTATCTGTTAAATAAAATAAGAATACGAATAGCGATACTTTTTGCCATAAATGTTTCTTTATCCAATCAAAATACTACTTAAATTAGTTTTTATTTTATGTAGGTTTAAAATAAAAAATATCATTGTTCATTTATACTGCATATTTATTTACGTTGAATAATATGTAATGTATAATAATTCGTCATCGGTATACAGTGATACGTCGTCAATATTGCCGTCATTAATAACTACCAATTTTCTGCGCAATCCAATCATTGAATTTGTACACTCTGGTGTACACGGATGGCGCGCCTGGAGTACCGCATGGAATAATACCCCAAGATACTATTCCAGTGAGCTCCGGCTTTTGTCCATTGTACGAGACTAGAGGGCCACCGGAGTCATTTGCTAACTATAGTTTTCATTTTAATTATTAATTATAAAGCAATTAGTTATTTACTGTAAAATAATTAATTATTTATAATATTTCGCGTGTGTTTCGTATTTATTTGTCAATAAATACAATTTATATAATCAATACAATAAAATTAAACGGCTTACTACAATGTGCTTAAAGGAGTAATATATATCATGTGGTATGACGTATAAAATGAGACTCGATTATTGATTGCGAGAATAGTGGTAGTGGTAGTAAGACCGATCAATAAAGAGACTAGTACAGGTGCAGGCAGGAGAAACATGGCAGGCGTCTTACTTCGGTAAGTAAATTACACGAATCTTAACTATAAAGGTGTTGTTATTCTTCAAAGTTTATTTAATATATAAATTATTTGATATACTGCAATAGTTACCAATATTTTTATTTTTATAAATATGAGCTGCACAATGTCAAGGTCTACCATTGCACTTGTATCCATGATTGTACTATTGATTGTCGTTATAGCAATGACGAATATGCAATTACTTTTTTAACCTAAGAAATGTACATTTTATTTGTTTTTAACACATACACGCATGCACCCACAGACTTTCTATTACTTATATAAATATATCTATATTCTAATCACATTACCCGAATATTATTAAACAGTCTCTAAAGTTGTACTCTGTAATTATTGTCAAAAGTTTCAAAAGCAAATATATTGATCGCTATAAACACTATTTGTTTGATGATACTTTATGTTTAACATTAATTTATATTAACTTTCAGCATTTATGTAGTGCCCTTTGATACATTAATTAATACTATACATAGCGTTTATTTTAATATCTATTTAGAAGTCTTCAGCATTTGGAAACTTCAGCTAACGAACCTACTGCCAAATGGACTGTTCCTTTAAGCGACGGGAATCATGTGGTGGAGTTTGAACATGGAACGGCAACAGGCCGACGCATGGTAAAAGTCGATGGCAATAACATAGTTCACAGAGAATGGATGTTTCGTCTGGTCGGTGATGAAGTATTTATGTTCAATAACACCAAGTTCGTGATCAGAGTCGATCCAATGCCAGGTAAAACCCTATTATCTCATTCATGAAATAATAAATACTTTATTATTTCGTTATAAAATTAAATAGGTCTGAAATATTCTTACTCGTTGTGGGTGAACGGAAAGAGCTATAAGCAATTTGTCCAATCGCAATCAAAAATACTGGAGACTTGGTTGGCCAAAGTTGGGAACGAAGAATATAGAGTCGTGTTAGGTAATTAATTAAAGTAGTATTATATAGCTGAAATACTTGACTTTTATTTCATGACATTTGCAGATAAACACGCTCACAGCGTTTGGGTGAATGGACAAGAAGTGGAAGTTGAGGTAATTACAAGAGTAGAAATTTTTTTACTATTACTTTACTAGAAATTTAGCTAGTAAAAAATCTATCCTCTTATAATTATTTAATACTAAATATATAAATTAAATAATTTATATAGAGCGAATTTATGGACGGTGGTGCGGAAATTCTCTTCTCCGTTGGCGGCTTACCGGCCGCTATCAGATCTTATAGTTCGGAACAAAAAGAGATTGGTATAGCGTATGCTTTATATATCAATGACGTTGAAATACAGCAAGAAGGTTTGTTGGAAGAATCTTGATCATCTTAACTTGTCTAATTAGATTTTACGTGTTTGATACTAATTGATATAAGTATATGCACATCATTGATAATATAATCATAAATTATATGCATCAATAAATGACTACACAAGTGTGAAACACAATATTTTTAAAATGTTATTATTGTTTAAAATTATATTTAATCACACTACTATCAAATGTGCCATGTAACTTTGTGTACATTTTTTAAACTATGAGTGTAAAATAAAAATCCCTGAATCCAATGTATTGTAAATTTAATTACTTTAATTTGCACAAAAATGTATTCTATTATTAAAGAATATTACCTGAAGATAGCTGGAGTTTTTATATTCCTATTTGTGTGACATAAAAGCTATTCGATTCACGCTCACAGCGCTGTAAGCATCTTTTGTCTTCGTTGCATATCGAATATCAAACAAAGATAGAACGATGCTTTTAGCGCTGTGAGCGTGAAACTAACCGCAGACATAGTTGAATCGTTTAAATACATGTATTATGTAACGTTAGATACTTTTAATAAAATGTCAAATTTTAAATAATCTAAAGAGATTACTATATCTAAAGATTAAATTTGAAGACCAAATATGTCACGGCAACAAAGCAGTGCCTTCAGCATCGGATCTCTAGTTTTAACTCCTAAACAAGATGATTTTTGTTACTATGAAGGTAAGGAAATCTATGTAACTTAATTATATCTTAAAAATCACAAAAGCTTTCCATTAATCTCTAGATATGACAGAAACGGAATTACGACAAGCACTTGAAGATATTGTTTATTCGAATCTATTCCTGAGGTTAGAAAATGACATTTTTGAACGATACCTCGCGCGTCGAGATCCTGAAAGTCTTCAAAGTATTCTTTTTATTTAATTTATATTCATTCTAAGTTTTTCTGAAATTCTTATATTCCCATTTTAGATTGCTCTTCTCGCATATTAACACATTATATATAACTTTTAATATATCTTATCTAGCAATAGCACAAATCTTAGAAACCGCTAAGCGCGTACAAAAAATCGCGCCTCAACACTCTCGCACATCACCCGTTATAAGTGTAACCGGAAGTCTTGTGAATGTTCGCGACAGAGATTCAGTGAGCGTCGCCAGCGTGCGATCCGGAAGTCGACACGTCACGCCAAGTCTTTTAACAGCCAGAGCACCAACAGGAGGAACAAAGTCCGTCCGCTAGACGCTATAACTTCTTTTACAGTTTTTTTTAGTTACAATTACAATATTTCTTGCTAAATCGTAGAATCACGTATATGCATCGTATCGAAATGGCAAATACCGAAATTCGGGAATTACAGAAGGGATTAGAAAAATTCGAACAAACATCGACGAAGAAAAAGATATATCTACGAGCGCGAATGGAGGAAAGTCAAATTAGCACTCGCGAAACTTGTAGAACTAGGGAAGAATTTGAAGAAAACGTTGTACAGAAAGGCATAGATAGCATTACAGGGAAAATACCGGCTGAAAAGTTTATCAGGTGTTATGTAATAATCATTCACAATTAGATCTGATATAGACACAAAAGACTCAATTTTATCGTGTAGATTTGTAGAAGAACGGTTAAAAGTAGTCGACATCATGGTGGAACAAATCAGATTGAAGATGACTACCATAAAGTGTCAGATAAGAAAAGTCAAGTTGCAGTTGAAGCAGAGAAAAGAACTGGGCGAGGCTTTACGCGCCATAGATTTCGAACAATTGAACATAGAAAATGAGGTTTGCATACGAAAAATTGACGAGAAAACTCAGTATCTCCTCGAAATGAAGAGAATCGTGGGTAAGGAATAGATACTCGATTATTTTTTCAGTATATAAATTGAATTGAATTTGATACAGGCCACTATAGCATTGCATTGAGCAAACATAAGGAAAAAGTGGAAGGCTTGATGTTGATTATGAATGAAATAAAAGACAAAATTGTTTCCAAAAGACAGGAGATCATAAACTTGCAATCAGAACAAATTGCTACAAAGATTGAAATAGAGAAAGCGGAAAAACAACTTAAGTCAACGGTGGAGTTAATAGAGAACTTTGAAGTAATATTCTTTCATATTTTTTGTTTGCAACTTAATGTATCGAGTTTGAATACGTTACTTAGGAAGACTTTTTTTTCCTAGTACAATATTTAATTTTTTACACAAAAAGATTAAAGGTATAAGATTTAAAAAAGATTTGTAATCTCGTTATTTACGCAAAATGTCATAAATGCAGGTCCCGAGTGTTATAGATTCTATTAAAATGCGTATGAAGCTACAGGAATTACAAAGAATCCACAAGCAATTAAGCAGGCAAAGAGAGATTCAGCGAATAACGCTCAAGTCTCGAAAACAATTACGAGATATATCTTAAGCATAATAGTAATATATTTATGTAATTAAGAAAATGTTTAATAAATTAAGATAATATTCTAGCTTATTTGACAAATGTAGTTTTGCTAATCTTTGTTCTTAGAATCTTTTCTGTTTTCAGGAAAAAGTCAAAATATCTATACGCTATTGTATTGAGACAATCCAAATTGCATAGAATAGTGGACACAATTATATAAAATGAAGAAGATACAATATGTGTCTCTTTACTCTTTTCTACCGTAGAAAATAGATTTATACCGTTATAGGAAATACTCCGAGCAGTTGCTTACGAGCAGTATATAAGTCAAACTCTTTTCAACGAACTTACACTTAAGAGATCGCAGTATATTTTCCAATTTCATTTAATAGATTTACATTTATAAATAAATATTAAATATTATAAATATATTTAACAGCTAAAGAGTTAACATTTATCCACCTGCATTTGAATTTTATAAGAATTTAAAATTGAAGACATTTGTCTGCATCGATTTTCATTCAGAAAAAACAATTTTATTCAACAATATAATATTTAAGATTTATATAGGTCCAGTTATTCCTAATATATTTATTGAAAATATTTTATCTAATTTTGTTAAAATTTGTGTCATTAAAAAAATAATAAATATACACAATATGCAACAAAAAGTTTTTACGTAAGAATCTTCTGCAATGTCATGTTGAGTCATTAAAATGTCATCTTATAAAAACATAGAAGTACATATGGTTATACGTACATGGAAAGTGATTAATTTCCATTAATTAACTTTATCGTGTTGTGTACTTCTATCGTATGTATCGTTTTAATGAACATTTTAATGAATTTTAATGAATTCTTTGTAAAGATAAAGGTAGTAATATTAAAACTAGCAATATTTTTATGCGGCAGATATATAGCTAGATATATACAAAAACATTGAAGATTTTTACGAATTAATTATTGTGACACACATTTAACCGAGCAATTACGAAGTTAAAGCGATGTAGAAAGATTTTGGCGTGTGCTACGATGCGTTAGGTAGTTACGCTTCACGCACCGATAGTGCCTGTCCCTTCCTCTTTTTAGCCGTAGAATATCCAACCCGGAAAGGCCCATCTCTCTTTCTGCCACGATTCAGTTTTACCGCGACAACAGCATCGAACCTTGGTTCTTTAATTCAGTTGTCGAACGACTGATCGATTGTCGTACTAAAGTCTATAAATTTAAAAAAAACATTGCATTGCACAGTAGAGAGAGGATGTCGCTTATAACAGTTCAACTTTTTTCGAATTTTTGACACGTGATATTATCTGACAACAAATTTGACTAAGGACAGCGTAAACTTTTGTATTATGCAACTTATTACGAGAATTATTATTCTTTTGTTATGTAACTTAAATGTGAAGCGATTAGTGTCAGAATATTGATGTAATTAAAAACTTCAAATAATAATATAAATAATATATCTATAAATAATACATCTAAGTATGTAATTGTTTACGCATACTTTTTTAAATCATCATTGTGTTTATTTGTTTGAATTGTGACAAATTATATAAGACTCTTCTTGAGAATGAAAAACATCTTAAAATGTGCACAACGAGGATTATTGTTACGTCAATTATTGGTGCAACGATGAATTTACCACGAAGAATGACGATAGTAGGAATTCGTAATCTCATTGCTTTCTTTATTATTCTTTTGCATGGAGAGACATATGGAAAATATTTGGAGGTAAGACTGTAAATCAATTCACAATTTCTTCGTCGTTAGATTTTCGATCATGCTCGGAAAATCATAGCTCTCATTCCGAGATATATTAGTTAACATTATATACATTGGTATATTTGATATTATTATTGGCATTGCATATTATACTATGGGCCGGTTGTTCCAACCTATTGATAAGCTAACAAATAGTTAAATTATATGTCTATCTTTGTCAAATTAAAAAAAACAAAGACATATAGATAATTTAACTATTGGTTAATTTACCAACAGGTTGGAAAAACCGGCCCTATATATTTAATACATAGATTAATAGGCTTTGTTTATTTAACTGTTCTTAATTTTTGTATATTAAATAAAATACATGCTTTGTTCGATTATCTGACATTACTAATAATTCTAGCAAATCTCCAGGCATTGATTTTTAAATATTCTTTTTTCATGTATTGCTTAAAGGGCCTCAACATGAATTTAGGAGATGCTCTTTTATTTCTCAGAGAATATGATAGCGCAGCTTCATTAATGTGCACAAGGGTGACGATAGCCCAGTGGAACTTTGCAACTAACGTTACTGATGCAAACCACCAGAAAATGGTTTAACAAACTTTTTTAATTAATAAAAAATAATGCAATATAAATATAGCTTAAATATATAATACTTTAGAAATCTTTTATATAATCTGTGATGTGATTACCAGATAGACGAACAAACATTAAAATTAAAATTTGAAAGATCTTCTTGGCGGAAAGCAATCACATTTGCTTGGAGTCGGATACCAGATCCTTTAGCAAGAAGAGAACTTAAAATGATTGCTACGAAAGGTCGAAGTTCTTTGACTGATGATAAGTTTAATGAGGTGGATAAATGTCTCATAAGAAATTCAATATATTAATTTGTAATCTTTTAATCATTACATAAACATGATTGAAATTGTTTAAGAGCCGGTTGTTCCAATCTGTTGGTAAACTAACTAACAGGTTAAATCATATATATTGCTTTGTTTATCTTTTACATTAAACAAAGACAGACATGTGATTTAACTATTAGTTAGCTTACCAACAGGTTGGAACAACCGGCCCTAAGTATTATTAAATATTTAACAGATAAATGTTATTAAATAAATGCAATCAGTGATCCAATATTACATTGATTTACGTACGATACTTATATATTTAAATTCCAGATACACCGTTTAATAGCGGAAATGAAAGAGACTTATGTTAAAGCCAGAGTATGTTCATACAAACAAATTGATGGCGAATGTAATTTTAGTCTGGATCACGGTTAGTCAATTAATTTAATTTAACCTTTGTTGTGCACACCTCTTCAAAATTACGTATTGTGCACAGGGGGTCTATTAGACCCCAGTCACTTTTAAACGTTTATTACAGATGTACAATTCGTTATTTTGACTCAAACAAAATTGCTGGCTATTGTTCAAAGCTTCCAAAATAAGGTCTATAATAGGTTCCATTAATATTTTGCAACATAAAAGAATTATAAATGATATGTTAACTAAAAAAACCGAAAAATGGACTTTTCACTTAAAAATGCATAAAAAATTCAATTTTTAATATTTTTTAATAATTTTTGCGTGATTATTTTCTTGAAATACTACACTTTCAAGGAAAAATATTAGTTTATAGCGGAATTGAAAAAAGTATATCTATATTGCTATGAAATAACGTTTTTCAACTTCTCACCACTGCCAAGAGCAGACTAAAGTCGGGCGGGCAAAACTATGTATAGGATCTTGAAGTGTTATCCCTAAACTACAGGTAAATGGCACAGGTCCCGATCCGCATTGTACGTATTAGAAAAACGCGTTTAAAAATACGCTGGGGTCTAAAAGACCCAGTGTGCACAACAAAGATTAAATACAAAAATAAATGCATACAAAAGAAATTGTGTATATACGTGTTTTCATATATGTATAAATTATTTTTAGATATAAATAAAATAATGGCACAGTCAAAAGACTACGACGAATTATTGCATTATTGGCATGCTTGGCACGAAGCCATTGGTCCACAACTTCAAAATAAATATTTGAGATATGTTCAATTGGCAAATCGAGCAGCTAAATTAAACGGTACGAAAAGCTTTGATTCTAAATGTGGCATTCTATTTTGCTACATAAAAATATTTAAAACATAATGTTTTTTTCAATATAATTGAAGCTAATAAAACGCATTTCTTGTGAAAGGTTTTGCCGATGCTGGCGACCAGATGAGAGAACTGTTTGAAGACGAATATTTCGAGCAAAATATAGCAGAGATAATGTCAGCCATAACTCCGCTATACAAGAATCTTTTTACTTACGTGCGATTAAAACTGATTGAAAGATACGGTGACAGAATACGGGAGGATGGACCTTTACCGGCGCATGTTTTAGGGGACATGTGGGCTCAAAATTGGGAAAATCTCTATGAATTAGTGCAACCATTTCCCGCAAGCAGAAAGCTCGATGTAACTTTGGATATGATGATTCAGGGTATAACTCCAATGAGGTATATTCCTGATTGTACAATATAATTATGTGTAAATTTATAAAATAGAAATAATTTAAAAAAAAAATGTTTTTGTTAATGTAAAAAGGATGTTCCAAATAGCGGAAGAATTCTTCACTTCGCTTGGAATGAAACCGATGCCACCGGAATTCTGGAAATTCTCCATATTTGAAAAACCCATTGATAGAGAAATTAGGTGCACTCCTAGTGCATGGGATTTTTGTAATAAAATTGATTACAGGTGACTTTATTTATTATTGTCACATGGCAAAAAAAATTAATTTTTAATTTTTATTTAATTTTCCACAATATATTCTCTTCTATATTATATCTAATGGCAGAGTTCTCCCCCCCCCTCCAAATTGTATTTTTTAAATAATGTAATTGCAGAATAAAACAATGTACCAGAGTTACGATGGAAGATCTACTGTCTACGCATTATGAAATGGCGCATTTGCAATATTATTTACAATACAAGGATCATCCATTGCTATTCCGAAACGAGGCGATTCCAGGTATATCTTGTTTATATTCAAGTGTTTACATGTTTTACGGAATTGTATGTTCTATTAATAATAACTTTTTAATTAGGATTCCATGAAGCTGTTAGCGATGCAACTGGTTTATCCATTTTTACTCATCAACACTTACATAAAATTGGACTGCTTAATAATTTAACGGACGATTATGATAGTAGTATAAATTTTCTCATGCTAATGGCTCTTCGCAAAGTGGCTTATATGCCGTTTGCTTATATAGTCGATCAGGTAAGTAATGACAAACAATAAAATAATTAATAAATAAATAGTATAAGTAATAAGTGTGTATATTATACGCGGGAATTACCTATTACAATAGGTAATTTCAGCGTATAATAGACATATTACAGGCAGAAATTACCTATTATAATAAGTAATTTCAACGTATAATATAAACACTTATTACTTATACTATTCATTTATACAATATCTTTTTAAGATATAAAAATATTATCGTTATATATGCAAGACTAAATAATTAAATAGTCATAAATTACACGTATTTATTTTTTCAAAAAGTGGAGGTGGCGCGTCTTCAGCGATGGCATAGAAGATATGACAGCACATTGGTGGGAATTAAGGTTGCAATATCAAGGCATTATTCCACCCGTACCCAGATCAGAAAGAAATTTCGATCCAGCAGCGAAGTATCATATCCCAGCAGATAGTCCTTATGCCAAGTAGAAATATATTAATATATGTTATTATAAAGACAGTACTTATATAAAAGTATATTACTTTTATGTATCTTTTTTTTTAGGTATTTTGTAAGCACTGTATTACAGTTTCAATTGTTCCAGTCCCTGTGTGAAATTTCTGGTCACACTGGCGAATTGCACACCTGCGATCTTTACAGATCACGAGAAGCAGGCCGACTATTATCGTATGTAAAGCTTACAAAAACACCAATAAAGTATCAATTACTAATAATACCTCAATGTCTCTCATTAGTAAAATGAGATTTCCATATTTACAGAGATGTTCTGTCGACGGGAGGTTCTAAACCGTGGCAAGATGTTGTCAGACAAATGACAAGAGGTAGAACGAATAGAATAGACGCTGGTGCCATGCTCAAATATTTTGAGCCTTTGAATGCATGGCTGAAACGACAAAATGAGATGCAGCCTGTAATTGGCTGGATCACGAGTCGCAACGACAGAGGTTAGTTTAAAATAAATATTTATTAAATAATTTTAAATATTATTCAATAAAAAGTGCAAAGTGTATCTTGTGAGAATAGGAATTTTTCGTTTTGTTTCAGCATTATTCGCTCAATGGTATCAAAACAATGCACGAAGAATTGAACTGTGGAATTTATTCCTTCTACTGATTTTGACTTGTAAAATTTTCACTTAATAATGATTACATATTATATTATCTGACAACTTAATTTCAAGTATTTACATATACAATTTTTCTTACATATCATATGAAAAGAAACCAAGATTACGTTAATTTAACTTATATATGTATTGTGAAATAAAGTTTGTTTGTAAAAAGAAATTCTTGTGTTATATATACCTATATATATATATGTGTGTGTGTATATAGTTTCTTCCGACACAATCTTAAACTTTTAATATAATATATCCACTGCAAGTAAGTACTTTTTCTTTTAGGTTATATTTGAGTTTCGCTATTTTTGCTTATTATAGTAATTATTACTTATTCATTTTTGGCATTTTATTATTAAAAATTTTAAGTCAAAGTTCAAAAACATATTCGGGGCGATTGTAACAACTGTGATTCAAACTAATTTTTATTTGTACTAGTCTTTAAAGACATTGTGTTCCTATCATTTAAAAATATAAGAACAAAAAATGTTTATAATTAATTGTTGTCTATAATTGATATAAAGAAGTTATGTTTTAATAGAATGAGATTTTTTATTTTACTTCTTTTGTACGAAAATATGAATATTTTAGTTTGTTTTTGTTAATATAAGAGAAATTATTATTTTTCATTAAATAAACATTTTTTATTTTGATCGGCAAATTAATATGCATAGAAAGTGGCTGGCAAACAGAGGTCTGAATTTGTAGCCAATGTTGATTTTTGTTGGACCAAATTTTTCGAATATTAATGCTAGTTATGTACAAATAAACACTGTGCGGTATCAGCTTCATACTCCACTGAAAAATTTAGATACGTGCTTCAAGACGTTCCAAGAATTGGACGCTGCATATTCGGAGGAGTGTCGTGCGGTTTGGTTTTTTATCCAAAAATATTTTTACGACTTATATCTAGAAGAGAACAAACAGATTCCTCGAGTGACAAATGTAATTAGTTCTTTAAAAGGATTGATTTCAAAGATAAATACTATTTAATATCTCTATATATTACATATATATTTTTATTTTTATTTAAAACTTTCTTTACTTTCTTCCTTTACTTTTATTGCTTTCCTTACTGTACAAAAATGAATTATATTGTAGCGACTGCCATTAGCATTTGTCTGCTATCAAAGCATTATGCTTTCACTTACAAATAGTTCATTCATATAATGTTTTTAGTACATATAAATGTGCTCAGGATAATTGCAGCAGAGAATACAATTCAATAAAAGTTTTTAGAAAACATTTACATGATAAACATCCTGCTCCTGTACTTGAAGAAGTACAGGTTTTTAATCAAGAGCATTTGGAAGAAATAAATGAAAATATAGAGTTAGATTTTAATGTAAGAAATGCACTTCAACAAATTGATGATGATCAAGATATACAGATTGACAATATTATACATGAAGTTGCTTTTACTACTCTTGATTTTAAGAAAGCTGTATTTGAATCATCAAAAGCTTTAGTTGCAAAATTATATGCTTGGAAATACCTTAAATAGAAGTCATGTACAAGAGATTATTGAACTTATTTCAGAATTTGTTTGTGGTAATTTTCTTACAATGTTAAAATCCAAAACTTTGTCTCTATTGCAAGGTATTAATCAAAAACAAGATGATCTGCAAAATTTGACTTGTGAGATGTTCAATACAATGCAGAATATATTTCAAGGCTTGAACACTAAAACACAAAGAATAAATACGCTTAAAGCAAGCCAGTCTTATGTATGTCCTAAATCTTACAGAATAGGGGTTGCAGAAAAAATGATAAAAGTTGGAGAAAATGTAATTTTAACACCAGTAGAGTTGACAGGTCAATACATTCCAATAAAGTATGTTTTAAAAAATTTTCTAGAGTTGCCTGGTGTCTGATGCTATTTTAGCTAATAGAACAAATCTTAATAATACAGACAAGTTAACTAATATAATTCAAAGCTCCGTATGGAAAAATATTAAAGAATCTTATTTCAAAGACCATCTTGTATTGCCTGTATTCTAATATTTTGATGACGTAGAGCCTGATAATTGCACAGGCTCACATGCAGGTGATCATAGCCTTGGAGTATTGGAATTATCAAATTCCTTGCATTCCTCAACATTTTATCTACTCTTGAGAATATTTTTGTATCCTGTATATTTTTATCAGATGACAGACATCTCAACAATGGAAATATCTTCCGTCCTATCATAAATGAACTCAAAGAACTTAAAGCCAATGGCATATTAGTGAATACAACAACTGGAAATAAGCAAATATACTTTTCTTTGTGCTTGCTTCTTGGTGATAACTTAGGATTTCATTCTATTACTGGATTCACTGATTCCTTTAATGCAAATTTTTAATGTCGTTTTCGCAAAGAACATAAACAAGTAATGAAGAGACAAGTTAAGGAAAATCTGTTATCTTTACGTAATAAAGAAAATTATGAAGCTGATATTTTCACCAATAATTCATCATTAACAGGTATTAAGAAATGATGCATTTGAAATGAGCTTCAAAGCTATCATGTGATTACTAATCTTATTGCAGACTTAATGCACGATGTTCTGGAAGGTGTTTGTCATTATGATTTATGTGCTATTTTGGAAGAACTGATTTCTGCCAAAAGTTATTTTATTATTCAAAATCTTAATGATCGGATACAAAATTGTGATTATAATTTTGATATAAATAATAAGCCTTCTATTATCACATTTGATCACATTCGCAGAGAAAAACTTAAAATGTCTGCATCAGAAATGTTATTTTTTGTACGACATATAATTAATATTTATGATTATATATAATTTTTTTTCCCGGGTATTATTATTATTATCGCTCCACTTCTAAATACAAATTTAAGCATTTATCTCGCAACTTTGATTGCTGAACACCGAATTATATTGTCAATTGTTGTTCAAAGCATTAAAATCAAAACATCATTTTATGGTCCATTATCCTAGTGATATAGTAAACTCATCGTATAATAACGCGTCGAAGAAACGGAGCACTGAGACGTTTAAATTTAAAGTGCGCTGAAAGTTATAAAACAAAACGTAAAAGAAACGCAGTGCGTGTTCACAGGCTGATGTAATCATCAGCGCTGGTGCGTGAACGTTATCGCGAATTAAATTCGGTCTTTTGTACTGTTACGGAAATTTTATCTTAAAATTTCGGACGACGCACGTTGGAATTTTTGAACGGTTTAGACGACGCACACGCTATCTCAGAATTCCGAGCGAACGCTCAGGTCAATATAAATGTTTGGTTTATCCCACGGTTATCAGACGGCTGTTGATAGGCTGAGGTCCAGATGGGGCCCAAAACTACGTTTCTAGAAACTTTTAGAAAACCTCCCCCCTTAAGACGCGTAGGAAGTGGTAAGAATCTCGCGCGGGAGGTTCTGGCCATTTCGGGTGTAAAAAGGGCGGAAAACGTCGCGGAGCGACACATAGTTTTCGGCTTCGGGTCTGTTACTTCATTCTCAACTTTAATGGTTTTTCTAACTTTTATTCAACTCCAGATAGTTAGTGACACTGAAGAATCGCGTTAGTCTCATCAAGTGAAACTGTAAGAGCAACACGATGTTTTCGCATCGAGAATTAGTGAGTAAACTTTTCTGATATATATATTTTACATTTCATTTATTTAATACTAGACACCACAGACGCGCGCTTCGCGCGCGCTATTTAGCTTTAACATTATGCTATTACTATTACACTATTAACTCCTTGATACACACAACTGTCAAAATATACGATGACAGCTGCAAATGAACCAAGCGCAGCGAGAGAACCAATCGGTATCGCGGAAAAGCGACAGCAATAAACTTCGATAGATTCGAGTATCGACTTTACATCTCTTTTTTAGATATGGACTAATAAGTAGGTTCACTCCCCTAAGAAGTTGGTATATGAATATGGCGATTCGCGCAATCAATAACATGGCGGCTGTCATCTGACAGTTCATTTGGTTAGATACATCGGCGCGTCAGTTGTATTGTATTTGTATTTATTTAAAAAAAAATTTTTTAATAACATTATAATGAGTAATAAAAGTGGTTATCGATGTGTATATTTAAAGATTGTGGGATCAAAAGAAACTTTATTCCGATTTCCGAAAGATTCAGAAAGGTATATAAGTATTCATCATTATGACAAATACATGAATACATGAATACATAAATACGTTAAATACACATAAATACATAAATATATTAACACATTAATACATAAATAAATATGCTATTCGTATATTATGTAATAAGATACATAATCAATAAATATATTTAAAAAAATTAATACATTAATATATTAATACATTAATACATCAAGACATGATTGTATTAAATATATTAATGTATTAATATATTTATGTATTAATTTTTTCAAATGTATTTATTTATCATGTATCTTATTACATAATATACGAATAGCATATTTATTTATGTATTAATGTGTTAATATATTTATGTATTTATGTGTATTTAATATTTAACGTATCTATGTATTTGTTATAATGAATATACGTACCTTTCTGAATCTTTCGGGAATCAGAATAATTTCCTTTGATCCCACAATCTTTAAATACATATCGATAACCACTTTTATTACTCATTATAATTTTATTTTTTAAATATTTTTAAATAAATATAAATACAATACGCGCCGATACATAAAATACAGTAATAAAAATATGCTATTTGAATATTATGTAATAAGACAATAAATAAATAAATACATAAAAAAATTAATACATTAATACATAAATAAAATGAATAAAATATACATGAATAAAATGTGTCGTAACATTTTTGCTTCAAATATTTAATTAATACACGGAGAAAATTTTATAGTAAATATTACTATGGTGTCGCACTAGCTGCGGACCATCGAGGAATTTTAAGTTAAATTACTATGTTTATGGTAAAAATTACGTTATTTAATCGTTTTTAAAACAATAATTATAGTATTTTAACTTGAAATTCCTCGATGGTCCGCAGCTAGTGCGACACCATAGTAATATTTACTATAAAATTTTCTCCGTGTATGTATAATATATTTCTTATATTTTTTTCACTCTTATATAATTATCACAAGCAGTTTCTATTATTCAAATAAAATGCGCATGTATTTTTTATTTATGTGCATGTGTTGTGACATTTTTGCTTCGAATATTTAATTAATATATATTTCTTAAATTTTTTTACATCGTATACAATTATCAAACGGTTTCTAGTAAGCGGTTGAAATAGAACACGCTCGCGCAATCAACATCATGGCGGACGTTTGCCACGAAGAACAAAGGCTTCGACACGGAGTGAACCTAGTGTTCTTACTTATACTGTGATTATACTATACTATTACACTATTAACTCCTTGATACACACAACAGTCAAAATATACGTTGACAGCTGCTCGTGAATTGTAGTAAGCGTAGCGAGAGAACCAATCGACATCGCGCGGAAAAGCAACAACGATAAACTTCGATAGATTCGAGTATCGATTTTACATGCCTTTTTTAGATATGGATTTTTATGAGTCTTTAACTTCTGGAATTAGAACTGCTCAATAATTAAGTTATGTGTCATTAGGCAGCAATTTTGTAGAAATTAATACATAATAAAACATTTATTTTTCTTTTGTATTTTACTTTCTCTCTAAATCGATTTTTATATTAACAAAATAATATTCCGTAGTAAATCCATAAATATATAATCTTTCTCTCAATAATTTTAAACTGTTAAATAAATAATACAATTAAATTTCTGCCATATCAAACATCTGTTCGAGAACAATCTACTAAAAATTTCCTTAATTATTTCAGTTCTTAGCAATGACAATCTCGTTAGCAAGTATCGCACTTACCGGCGTCCTCGCTCAACCCGCCCATGAACATCAATACGATAGCAATCCACGCTATTTGCAACATCAGTCTGTTTCGCAGCAACAGTTATCGGACCAGGAATCGACGCGATATCTACCGGGAGTTGAAACAAAAAAAAATGAAGATCCAAAAGAGGCTAGGCGTAAAAGAATGGAAGAATATGCGTGTAAAATAGATTTTATCCGACATATGGACGGAGACCGCTCTCTTCAACCCTTGGTAAACGCTCATTATCCTATTACTTGATCTGATGAAATAATATATGTTTCATTAACTTAACATTCACCATATTTTATTTATATTACTATCATTTCATTGAAAGTTCAAATTTTATTCAATTTGATATTTTTAAATGTAATATTTAATTCGAAACACCTATATATATGTAACACCTAGCAATTTGTCTTATGCGACAAATATGTACATCACTGTATTATTGACAAACAGCTTTTCTTGGAATTAATTACATAACACAAACGCTGATATTTGTCGTGTTTTTTGTACACAAATTGATCATGTGAGTTGCTGAATATTTCATAAAAATTATATTTCTCCAGATGGTACACAACCGAAGAAAAAGATCGGATACTGCAAAAACTGAGATAGAGTATTTCTTAGACTTCGTTCTCAATACGTTTCTGATGGCAATAAAGCTGCCATTAAATACAACAAACGCAATGCGACACGTTTATGAATACCTGATTGCACGAGTGGGAAACGGTACAGTGTTTCAAGCAATTGTTAACATATTGTTAAATTATATGTACTTCTGTACATTCGGAAGTTTTTATTAACGTACACAAACTGGAATCGTCATTTATTCTTTATTGCACACAAAATTAACCTTAGAGAACACATGAGGGGTAATACGTTACCCCACGCAAAATTCAAATTACGCCCCTGACTTAGGAAGGTTAGTTTTCATACCGAGACCGTAACCATAATTCAGTTTAGTCATCCGGCAGTCGACCTCCGTCATTCAGCGAGTGCGTTAGATCCGTGCAGCAGCTGTGACCGAAAAAGAAAATCGTTTGGGGTAACGTATTACCCCTACTTGGTCGTTTACGCTCGACTTTTACCACAGTAAAGTAAATTTCAGATTTTTTGTGAAAATCGGTAACGAAAAATTATACACTTTATAGCACTCCCCGGAAAATTCTACCCCTGTTTCATATATAATTGTTTAAGATTTGGTCAATTATTTCATTTTTGCTGTTCTTGCACAGCAACTGATTAAAACTTTGTAAAGTTTTTGTGGAGTTAATTTTACTGTTTCCATATACTTTTATAACTTTTGACTACCTTTCAAATAAATAATAATCGACAGAATCTGTTTTACTTTCCATTTCTTGCGATTTTTCCTATCCGACAGTTTTTCGTCATTTCCTCTACTTCAGACGTTCAAAGAAATATGTTTTTTTTTTTAAACGAAAAAGTCGCTTACATGCCCTTGAAGGTTGTCTATTCGTCTTTCAAAATCCGTTGAAATTTTTAAAATCGGTGAATTTCATGAAAAACTACAGCATTTTTTATAAAAATAGTCATTTTAGCCAAATTTTTGGTCTTTTGTTTTGTTTTTCGAAATTTTTTTACTGTTTTTTTTTGCTATCAGAAACTGATGATAGTGATGATACTATAATCTTCCCTATTAAAGAGCAAATAAAATTATCTATTACAAACTTTTTTAACAACAAATAGAAACATTATACACGCGGTACAAGTTTGGGGTAATTTATTACCTCGCTTGGGCTTTCACGTATGAGAAAATTCATATGTGTTCTCTAGGGTTAAAAGAAACTCTTACTTTGAGAATACATTACCTTTCCATATTAGCGAAGAAGGTGGACGCGCAGAAACAACAACAGAAACGAACATGGGAACGGAAACATTACACTAGTGCCTCGATTATCGCGACATCTTTACGTTTATATATATGCGCATTATATAGGCTAACTGTAGCTCGGACAGTTGGTGCCAAACTCAAATTATAAAGTTAAATAATTATTTTCTACACCTTCCCTTAATTGTGAAACAATTTCTAATAAACTTAGCTTACATTTAACCTGAACTTGCTAACTCATAACTAAAATCCTTATAATTAAAATTATAGTCTTATTCCTAACTTAGCTTACTAATTTGCTTTTGTGAATCTCGAACTTCTTTTATTGCCTATGTCGTTTTTAATCAATTGAATGGTGCTTGATTGTCAATATTTAATTGCTACAACTAATTTGCCTGTTAATTCTTCAATTGAAAATTTCAAATATAAGATTTTTTTGCAACATTCGGTTGCTGCAATGTACTCGGTTTTAGTACTAGATAATGCCGTTATAGACTGCTTTTTCGAATTCCAACTTATAGACCCGCCGCGCAGTACATAATAATAAAACTAGATATATTTTTTTGAGTCTCTATATCGCCTGCATAATCTGAATCTGTATAACCTAGGGTAATATTGCACAATAATTGTAATCCGATTAATTTAAAATTCAACTGGCAGAAATTACTGAATAGCGAAATTTCAAACTGTATAATTCGTCCTTAATCTCTAATCTCCTTTCCCACGTATAAAATAACGAGATTAATATTTCTATTCATTAACAAAATAGTACAATGTATTGATATATTAATTTCCGATTAAAGATGTATGTCAGAATAACAGGATAACAGAATAACAGAGATTGTGCACTTATATATCCCAAAAACCTGTGTTAAATTTGCGATCGATTGTCCGACCCGTTTCTGAGATATTTATTTTAAAAGTTACAGAAATTGTACATACCTATATAGGTGTATATACTTTCCATGTAAATATCATAATATGTATCTCTGCTCATGTACGGTAAAAATGAATGAAATTTTTATGGTACACTTCTATGACATCGAGAATTGCAATTACGGTTTTTTAAGATTTTTTGGTCATATTTTTTTTTTAATTTTTTAATAATTTATTTAAACAATATCAAGTACAAAAATGAGACAAAATTGGGATCATCCTGTAGAGGCCCTCCACCGCACTCCCGTCGACTTTACTCGGCGGTCCTCTTTTCTTTGGATGTGCGCTTTTTTTATTATTTTCTATTTTTTATCGTCATGGTATTTATGATATATGTGTAACAATGTCTAGCATGTACACTTTATTTATTATTACAACTAGACTAGATTATAGCGCGCGCTTCCTTATAATGTTTTTTATTTGTTATTATTATCTTATGCAAAAAACATTGGTACACTCGATCAATCGACTGAATCGAGACGACCAATTACGTTCGCAATAACACGGCAACAAATGCAAACGCAATTCGGCTAACTTCGGGGTTTCATACCGCTTTTATAAGAGGATGTAACTTCAATCCCTCCAACCATTCGTATCTCACGCGTTTCTAACGGTCGACGGTAGTTCGTTCCGGGAAACCAACGGCCGTGGGATAATCCCCATCCCCCCTACTCCTAAAAAAAAGTTGTTATAGTAGGGAACTAAGAGAACATCAGGTAGAAACTTCATCAGAGCCTTAGCTTATTTACTCTCGAAACGACGTACAGTCAAAATCGCGTTGGGATACGAAAGTGCATGGACGAATTACGTCAGCGTTGTGTGTAGGTAGGTGAGTGAAAATTTTTTTTCGATAAAAATGTATTGTGTACAATTTAAGGTAAATCTGAATCTCCTTCAGCTCTCCGCTCACTCCTCTCCGATTTCGACGAAATTAAGCGGCCAGGAGCATGCGCATGTGGTTGCGGGACATGTTCAGTGTTGCTACATCTTGTCGGTATGACAGGAATCATAACCTAATTCCTATCAACTTCAACGTTTAATATCTCGCGTCGCGGGGTAGAGCGATACTTTTTTTCTGCCAGATTCGGTCGTTTTGAGCAAAAACGCGTCGATTGAGCCTAATTTTATCAAAATCGGAGAGGAGTGAGCTCTCCTTTAGATTTATCCAATTTAAGCGTATTTAAAATATTTTTGTCGTTAAAAAAAATTTCACATTCCACAGAGAACTATTATGGCTCAGAGGCAGGCGGAAGAGGTGGGAAGGAGCTTGTGTCTCCACGAGCCGGTTTCGTATTTCGGCGATAAGGACAGCGACGAGGAACTCGATTCTTTAGAAGAACAAGAAGACTCGAATACTGAAGAGGAAGCTGACAAGTTCGAATTCGAAGAGAGAGATGAATCGGAACAGGATTCGGAGGAGAAGACAACGGAGCTTGAAGGATCAACTTCCACGACGAGAAAGTGTCAAATTGTTTACGGTAAAGATAAATATCCATGGTCTTTATCTCTACCTAAAACGCGCAATCAGTCAAGGAAGATGCATCTACCTGGTGCGATGAATCATGCAATAGTTGCCAATTCTCCATTAGAATGTTGGTCAACGTTGTTTAGTGACAACCTTTTAGAGGTAATACTGAAGTATACAAATATCGAGATTGACAAGTATCATACAGAACACGATACCGCTAACGAATCATATCAAAAACATTTGGGTATGGTGGAATTAAAAGCATTTTTCGGTCTGTTATATTTCGCCGGTTTGAAGAATGATAATCGCATCAACATTGCTGAGTTGTGGTCATACGAGTTTGGTAGCTCTATTTATAGAGCAACAATGAATGTAAGAAGATTCGAATTTATAGCGGATCGTATACGCTTTGACGATAAGACTACTCGTGCGGAAAGAAAACAAACAGATGGATTAGCAGCTGTTCGAGAAATTTGGGATATATTCATCAATAATTGCCAAACAAATTATACTCCTTCAAAATTTTTGACCGTTGACGAACTATTATTGGGATACCGTGGTAGATTTTCTTCTAAAGTCTACATAAAGAGTAAACCAGATCGCTATGGTATCAAAATTATAACACTAAATGATGCAAAAACTCACTATTTATATAATGCGATTCCGTATGCAGGGAGTGTAAATCCCCCTGCCAATGAAACAATTCCGAGTTATTATATTCGAAAGATATGTGAGCCTATTTATCACAGTAATAGAAATATAACATGCGACAACTGGTTCAGTTCCGTCGAAATTTTCAATCAAATGTATAAAGATTATAATCTTACAATGGTTGGAACCATCAGAAAAAATAAGAGACAAATCCCAAAAAGCTTTAAAAGCACAGCATCGGTTGGAACCGTCCGTTGCGGTTACGATGGTACTAATGTTCTCATGTCTTGGTGTCCAAAGAAAAATAAAGTTGTGTTAATATTATCATCATTGCACAAATCATGCAAAATCAATACAGATTCCGGAAAACCTGAATTAGTTGATTTTTATAACAGTACGAAAGCAGGTACGGATGTCTTCAACCAATGTTGTGCGTTGCATACTTGTGCAAGAAAAACAAATAGATGGACAATGAGATTCTTTCTGGGTATGCTAGACCAAGCATCTGTTAATAGTCATATTCTTTATAACTTTAATGTACTACATAAAATCGAAAACAGGAGATCTTTTCTGAAAGAGCTATCATTGTCATTGATAACTCCACACTTACACAATCGAAAAAACACAAATGGGTTGCATATTTCAGTTATCAGAGATATTAATAATATTTTATCAGAAACAGACATTCCTGATGTTGATAAAAATGATAAACTACAGATACGTAAAAGATGTTCTGTCTGCGAATATAATAGAAATAAAAAAACTTTGTACTGTTGCTCAAAATGTAAAAAACCGTTATGTGAAGACCACAGGGTTCGATATTGCTACGATTGCGCGATGTAAATCACGCGATATAAAAACATAAAAATAAACGGTCATTAAAAAAATATAATTTTTTATATAAGAAATATCTTTCACACTTCAAATTCGTCTTTTCTTATTCGAAAATTCTTTTTATGGCATCCTTAAAATCCTTCTGTACTTACCATTTAAAAATAAATTATACCATTTAAATAAAATTAAATTACCAGGGCAACGAAATTAAGTACTATTTCATTAATAATTATCTCATTTTTTTTCTCATTCGCACTATTTTTAGCTTTAATTTGCACGCTGAAACATTAAATTTCGTCAATTTGTTCGTCAGTTATGATTTTTTAAATAAAACAAGTCGTAACGTTTTTCAACATATAATTGTTGTAAAAAAATATTTAAATAAATAATTTCCAAATTTTCTTTACATTGATTTTTAGTTGAAAGTATAAAGATATTATAATAATTTTTGGGGAATTTTTCAAAGCTATTAACATACTGAAACGCGTGGGACACGAAAGTGCATGGTTGGAGAAATTAAGTGGCGGAAAAAACGTTGGAGGGATTAGGGTTAAAACTCACAATTTGTTTTACATCAAAAAGTAGGAAAGTATACAGAATCGTAAAATATATTACAAAGGATTAGAGTTGAGATATTTACATATATATATTTATATTATACATATATTTTATAAATACATATATTTCAAATAGTTTACTGATGCCAGAGTACACGAAAGCGCTCAAAATAAGTATATTCATATTGAAATTCACTATTTTTAAATCAGAGATTTGACTATTTTACAGATATTTCAAAAAATAATGATCAATTTTTTATTATTAAATTTTCTTATTATAGGAAAAAAATATGAGAAATTTCGAGATGCAAGGTCAACGATTAAATAAACGCTGTGAATCAATCAATGATATTTCGCGTAATTTCTCGCATAGTAACGCGAATTGTTCATAATTATTTTTACGCAGTGACGAATTGAGCTTAAGTCTTATGCATATTTTAAGCCTTAAAAAATCACTTTATTACCACATTTAGGAAAGAGATAACTGATCCAACGATTTAAACAGAACAAAATCCCTCCCGCTGTGTAACAGCCCGTCAGTTGCCGACGTAGAGAAGAACGATTCTCAGGATGGAAAATGAGCTCTATATACCCTGATTTGTCGAACCCCATCAAATCAAAAGGATATATCAAAGAAAATTAAGCAACCCGTTGAACGTCGAGGGCCCTGCTGCAGAAAGGAATGAATCCCAGATCTTCCGGGTTGCATCCGATAGCGGTCATTTCGGCAACGAGTTAACGACGATCGTCTTTCAAGTCATTCCGTATATTTTTATTATTAAAATATTCTTCCATTATTAAGATATATTTCTTTCTTATTAATTAAAAAATATATATATAGCCATTATGAGAGATGTACGTATATTTCTCTTATTAAAAATATATATAAATAGAAGAACTGTTATCGAGGAATAGTTACAAACGAGTATATTTAATAATAAAATGCATGAAATATATGCATTTGATAATTAACATTAATATTCTTCCAGAATTTTGGAAGAATATTAATTATCTATATCCCTAATCCTAATAGTTTCTTATAAGAAACAAAAAATTAAAAAATAAAATATAGTCGTTTGTAACTAAATTATATCAAAGATATATAACGATTGTATCCTATTTTTTTCCCTTAAATACATTTTTTATTTCTTTTTCTTATTTCTCTCTTTTTTGTTTTTCTTTTTTCTCTTTTCTTTTTTTTTTTTTCTTTTTTTTCTATTTCCTAAACAGTTATTTTATCCATATACACTTTACTGTCTTTTCATTAGCAAAACAGAAGCATGACTGATATTAACGTTAGTGGGAGAATATTTATTGAGAAGAATAGAATCTTCTCTTATATCTCTAATTAATTTCGCGAATTGATGTCACGTACTCATGCCGAAACCACTGTTTCCGAAGATCCGAGATATAAGAAAACCAGAGATTAATTCTGGTTCTGCAACAGGGATGTTCGATTTTCAACGGAGCAACGAACTATAATAAACTTTCATGTTAAAAATCGTTACGACTCCCCGCCGGTACAAACGTATTTCTTAACTAACATCCACCTGACGCAAGGGACAGAAACAAAGGCCGAGACAGCGATCGTATCCAACCACATGAAAATACGGTATACAACATCTCTAAGTATCGAATATTTAATAAAATCAAAGTGAAATTTATGAACAAACTCTTCAGAAAATCTAATTTTCTGTTTTGAATATTTTAATTAATACCAAATTACAATAATTGTGGGTCACAAATTTTGTAATAATTTTAAGAAATATAACCGTAATTTTAATTTTTAGGCAGAAGTTATATTTCGCAAGAGAGAAGCTATATTATTTGATCGTTGATTCAGCATTCAAGCCTTCACGTCTTCACATTTACGTGAAATTTATAATAAGTAGCGATAATTTTTAAAATGCGAAATTCTGGATGAAGAATAAAAACCGTTATTATCGTCTTCCATCGATTTCGTGTAATATATAGTAATTACACAATTTCAAATTTATTACAATGTTTCTTATAATTCCTTATTACAATTAATAATTCCTAATTACAATAATTTCCTTACAATTAATATTACATAAAATTAAGTAATATGATATAATAGTACACAGTTTTAATACACTCTTTATAGAATTGCATATTATGTAATAAAATTAAAATTTATTACATAATTAGTAATATAACAATTAAATAATATTATATAATATTACTTAGCTACAATAAACTCAAAATTTACAAAAATTTAATTTATTACATTATTCCATATAATTAACAGTACGAGTTATAATCCCTCGTGTTTCCACCTACCCGAACTTTTATCTCTATGTACATGTATATTCCCTGCCTATTCATACTTCTATATGTTCATATATTCCTACCTAATATTTCATATTTTTAGCATATTTCTATTTACCTAACGCGTTCATGCCCACCCGAATTTATTAGTTTATTTAGTTTAATTATAATTACTTTATTTAGTTTATCGATATTAGTTTATCAATATTAATTAGTCACGACCGCGATTACCCGAGATTAAAGAAGTGTTTAAAAGATTTAAAAAAAAAGTTTAAAAAATTTTAAGTTCGCGGTTACTTGAAATTAAACTAAAGACGTACGTCACTTTTCCGTCTCCAGATTACGCGTGTAAGAAATGTTACCCTACCTGCATGCACATTGTACACTAAATTGGTGGTGTTCGACACCAACCTACCTTGTGTAAATCTCTCCTTTGGCCAGTTTGACTTTACCATTTTCTGGCCAAATCCACTCTGGCAAAACCAGAGACAGGAAGGAGAATTACTTCTATTGCCACCTGGTAGTAGACGGCAGATGAGCGTAATGATTTTACGCTCTTTCCCACGATGCGCGAAACACGACCGCGTCGCGAAGGGCCATTTACAGCAAAATTGAATTAATTAATTATAGAATTCCTAACGTTCAAAATCTACTTATTATTTTATTTATTATACTATAATTTACGCACGAAATAACTTTCTCGATTAAGAACAAAAAAGATTTTAATTAATCAGAAGCTGTTACACAGAAAAAAAAAGTGTCAAATCAACACTGTTTATACTCATATATACGCAAGAATATATAATCTCGAAATGAGATTATATTGCGTTAAACGAAGAAAACTTGCTTGAATGAACTCATTATATAGTTCGATCAAGAAAAAAAATGTTGAAATAAAATGTTGAAATTCTTATAAGAAGATTATAGTAATCTTGCGCATATACGAACAATCGTACATCTAATAAGAATTTCAACTTTTTTTTTCTTGGTTGAACTATATAATGACTTTATTCGTGAAAATTTTCTTCGTTTAACGCAATATAATCTCATTTCAAGATTTCCAACTTTTCCAATGTTGAAACTAAAGATATTTTTAAATCAAAAATATTCCTTTTTTCTGTGTAATTTGGAAAAAATCTTTCAATTAACCGCGTATATCCGAATAAATTTGACTACATTTTGCAAATAATAGAAACTTTAATTTAAATGTAATATAAACATGCAGAACTTCAATAAAAATGCAAAGTAAATAATTAACACGAACTAAAAAAATATAAGGCCCATTTTTTTCGATTTCTCGTTTCGAATATCGAATCTCACCTTAGAAAGGTGAGAAATAAAGAATTAATGACGTGAGATCTGATGAGAGAGATAATCAATTTCCCGCACAATATTGAGCTAATATAAATATTTTGTGCATTCGAACAAACAGAATTTAAATTTTGATAGCTACATCTTGTTACGATAATAATTATACTATTAAAAATCAAGTATTTATATATTAATGTGAAATTGAGATCAAGTTTAAAATAATTGTTACAAAAAATTGTCTGTTTCGCGAAATATCATTTATTGGATCTCACGTCATATATTTAACTAGTATAAAAACCAGTTATCAATACATATGGATAGACTGTGAAAGTTTAGGCTAAAATTGGCGCGTTATAGAAACAAATAATTTTAAATAATAATCGTGAACACACACATAATTTTGTTAAATAGATTACGTAAGAAATATAAAAAAAATAGATTGTATATACTAATAATAAACAATTAAAATATTGCAAGGTGTCCTTTATCTTTTTGAACGCGATATATGCAGGCTAAAAGCATCTCTAACTCTAAGGCCGGTATTCATAGTCAGATCTTATTTCAAGGCTGTCTTAAGTAATATCTTAAAATGCTAATACGGCTCTCTGATTGATTCATGACATCTTAAGATTGTACATAACACGGTATTAAATATAAGAACCGACTATAAATACCAGCCTGAGAGCCGGTTGTTCCAACTTGTTGGTAAACTATAA